ATATATTTTTTCTGTTCAATGAAAAGAGAGCAAATGTCTAAACCAAAAAGAAAATCTAAAATCTCTCCACTAGTTTTACCTAGTATTTTGTCTTTTATAGTTTACCTTCTATCTCTTTTTCTATGTTCTTCCTGAGACATAACTGAGGGTTCTTTTTTTTTATCCACTTCAAGTTTTCAATTTTCTGCTTTTTAAACTTTTTAGTATGACTACCACTGCTTTTAGAAGGCTGAAACTTACTTCTTTGTGAATTTCAGCTTACAACTTTATTTACAACCAGCAGTATCATTTGGTAAAATATCATTATCATTATTTAAAACATTGCCATTCCCTTCTTCTTCATCACTAGCTTCTACAATTTCTGGGGGAACAAAAACAGTATCAGTTTCATTCTGTTCATTATTATCATCATCTGTTCCTTCATCAAAAAATCTTTGAAGGGTTTCTTCTAATGTAAGATACCTCGTTCTAAGCATTTTTAAAGCAGCCAGAACATGAACCAAAACATCGAAAGGAATAAGTATAAAAGGAGATTACCCGTTTCCTGCTGACGTTGCGTCAGTGCAACACCTGTTTTCTCTTCCTTCCCAACACAAATATAAACATCTGATTGATGTAATGTTCTGATAAACGATGACCTTGACTAAAAATAGATCACTCATAAAGACAGCATTCTTTCGTTGAATACTTTCAGCAAAAATACCTGATCGAAAATTTTGCTTTAAGTATGAGATTAATTATTAAAAACAAAATGATTGTTGAAGGTAAATATTTTTTTACAGAAATAATCTTCATAATATTCCCTACTCAAAATCATCTGCTGGTATAAAATATCCTAGTTAGTTATATTTACATATGCATTTGTTTTGACCATTGCATCAACACAACACCAGTGCCTAATGGGTTAAACCCTATAAAACAATATTTATGCAAAAAATAGCACTCCTAAAAATGCACGATCTGAGGCGGACCACCCCCCTCTAGTTACGCCACCGATAAGACATTTATTCTATTGCAACATTAGTTTTACTATATCTTGATCACAGATATCTGCTTTCTGGGCATACTACCTGTGAATAATATTTTAGATTTATTTAACAGAATCAAGATCTTAGTCATCCAAATTAAACTTTGTAAGACAAAAACAGTTGACAATCTATTTATTTGCAAATATTGATCAGAATTTTCCATTTAACCTCAGAAAACAGGCTACAGATAATTGCTTTTTAATTGTAGCTGATACTTACATAAAAAATTGCTTTAATTCATACTTCCTCTGGACAACTTATTGAGCAAAACTAATCTGTAGTGCAAGAGTCAGACTTTCTATAAACATGCAGACTATTACCAAAAAATTCAAAAGGAAAAAATAATTACAGTGAAATACTTTTTATGTTTACCTTTCCTTGTAAAGTCTGAATTTATCTTGCCATCAAAGCTTTAAATGTCTTTGTGGCAATATGTTAATTTAAAAGTAAAAGATCTAGAAAACTCACAGCATGCAATTCTTTATTTAGTTTCATTTTGCATGAAAACACATTGATAAAAATTCTTTTTAAAAAATAACACCAGGAACTTTTTGAAATTAACTTTATACAGTTCTTTCTCCCTTTTACACTTGTGAATGTATTTCTAAACCTAAATTTTTATCCAAAAAATACAGAACTAATTTTTAACTGCTAAAAATTACACTACAATAAAAGACCATCAAGATATGCTTTTTTTTTGACTCATCAAAAACAAAGTGTTCTTTTTTTTTAAGCACACCAAAAAAAAAAAAAAAAAAAAAAAAAAAAATGCTTATAAATTTTGAAAATGTAAGCATTTTCCTTTAAAAAATTTTATGGGGTGGAGAGAAAATTCATGAAAAAGTTTTAAATTATGATAGATCATAATTTATTCAAAGTGCACGATAATTAGTAATAATTAGCAAAAGAACAAAATATCTTATGCTTTGAAGGTTTTCAGGAAAAATATTTGTACTTCTTTGCTATAGTGGCTTCCGAGATTGAACTGTCATCAAATGAAATATCTTGCCAAAATCTAGCTGCATGTACCTACAGCTCGCCATGTAATCGTATATTAACACCATTTTGCATTTTTTCTCTTTCCCCGTGCTCTTATATTATTCCTTTTAGATGAGGTTTTCGAATTCGCATTATTTATTTAAAAATATACTCACTGCTTTTCTTTTTTGTGACTATGACTTTAACAATCTTTAATATACCATATATTGGGGTGAATGCAATATCATTTTTTCAAGAAAGAGGTCTTTTACCTGAAAAACAAGTATGTGAAAATAGCCACAACATGAAACTTTATGTTAACGACAAAACCATTTGGAGGTGCAGTGTTAAAAACTGCAAAAAGAAGAGACTTCTTATTGGAAATCAGTTCAGCGATTTCAGAATATCGTTTGTCAGTGCTATTAGATTTATGTGTTCTTGGGCACAGAAGTCCATGAAATGGTATAACAAACAGCTTAATGTGCGTGAAAGTGCTGTAGTTGACTGGAACAATCACATGTGATAAAATAATAATAATAATACAGATAAGGATTCTTAAAAATATTCTTAGGAAATGACATGCGAGTATTATTATTATTATATATTGTGTTGTTTATTTTTATATTCGTGCTTCATGAGCTTGATGCAAATCTAAAATCACCAAATATGGTTGTGGGTTGCTGAAACAAAGGAGTATCAAAATATCGTTAGACTAAATGAAGCACAATAATTTAGGTAATCATATTTCAAGCTTGTCCCTTCAAAAATTATAAATAAATTTATAAATAAAATAAATAATAAAGATAAAAATAAAAAGTTACATGCTGAGGATTTCAAACTATAATTATTTTATACTTAATTTTTTAATATTATGATCAAATTTCATATATCACAATCGGAGATTTCAACAGAAAATGGGGGAACCTCACTTTCTCTCTCCCTTTTTTTTTTGGGGGGGGGGGGATGCACATTAAGCTTTTGAAAATTTACTGTATCTAAGATCAATTACTAATGTGCAAAGTCAGTGAATCTAAGGTCTTGACCCACTTTCATTTAAATTAAAACTAGATATGAACCGTAATACCATCGTAACACTTAATGGACATAACAGGTTGGATACTGTCTTTGACCAACAGTTATCTCTTTCCAATGAAATTTGGTCTAAAAAATTACAAATGTCGGTACTTTTAGGTTATCGGGACCGGATTAAAAAATGCATGTATGTGTGTAGGTACACACACATACATGCATTTTTTAATTATATATGTGTGTGTGTAGGTACACACACATATGCACTTACACATACATACCTGAATCCGATTCCGATAACTGAAAAGTACCCAAACATCAAGGTGCTCTTTGCTCAACAATGCCGAATTGTACTAAGTACAACTACAAGTACAACCATCATCCTCAACAAATGTTGTCATTGGACAAAACAGAATGTCTTTTTCTTACTTATCTTGCCATGTACATAACTACTTCTCAGAGTTTTTACACTTAACAAAAAATACGATCTTTAATATATCTTTTGAATTTAATGAATATGTTATAGGGATTTATTTAACTAACAGTTAACTTTTAGTTTAAAGCAATTTCCTTTCAGTCTCACTTTCACCGACGCTCTCTTCCCAAAATGTTACTAAGCTACAGTGTGTGCATTCAAATGAGGTAGAAGTGGTATTTAAGGGAAGGTTTTGGGAAGTGATTTTAGACGTTGCTATCTTGAATTACTAGTAATCAGATTTCAGTGGCACTGAGTGCTTCTAGCCATTAGACTGACCATTTACACTGACTTTTACCAGTCAGAGCCTTCCTGCGCCTTAAATTATCCTGTGAGCCATTAGGCAAAACTTACTACAGTCAAAAGTCTTTAATCCGGACTTGTTGGGACTTCAGCGATTCCGGATTATCGTTGTTTCCGGATTATATATCATCAATTTAAATCTGGTAAGATGGCATGCAGAAATTATAAAATTAAAAATATGAAACCATAATTTATGAAATAAAGAGCAATTATGATCTAAAGGGTATCAAAATTTACAAAAAAAAAAAAAAAAAAAAAAAAAAAAAAAAGCTTAATATTTATTTGTTTACTTTATTAAACATTTCTTTCAATGCGCGCATGCGTAAAGCATACATTACCCATAGTCGAAATTAGAAAATTGCAGCCAAAATCTATTTGATGTGTATTTGTGATATTTAAAATGACGAGGAATTTGATTTAAATCACATGAAAGACGGAGTACATATTGATGAAATACTACATTTAGTAAAGAATTATAAGCCGAATAAAATAAAAACATCTGTCCTGAAGATAAGGATAGTGCTGACAGATCAACTTCCAGTTCATAGCGCGGCGCGAAGTTCCCCCCCCCCCACACACACAGAGCAGCGTGAAATTCATAAACGGATTTCGGAATGGTTACAGAAACAAAGGATATGAATGCTTTTATCCATTTTTTGCAGCAATTCCACTTTTTGTTTGCTGGACATCCAAACATGCTTTCGCTTTGTAGATCCATTGGTGGCTCCAGAATCGGAAATTCTTTTTGACATAATCAACAGTTCAAGCTTACTTTTATAAAATTGCTCTAACAGTCTGCAAAAAATAATAAGCCAGATTCAATTTGACGATTAAGGAACAACGCAATCTGCAACATGTGAACAGATAAGTGAAACAGATAATTAGATGATTTTAGCTTAGATTATACCGTTCGTTATACATTAAACATTCGCAGAAAGTTTGTAGGTCCGGATTATAGATCATTCCGGATTATGGACATCTGGATTAAAGACTTTTGACTGTATATTTTATTTTAAGTTCATCATTACCTGTTATGAGTTAAGCCAGAAGTGCTGGCTTTTATATATGTCAAAGTGGTCCATATCTACTTTTTAAGTCATTTTCCATACCATATCCAGATATGGACTAATACCTACAATTTCAATTTTAAAATACATTAAGTGGTGTCTGTAAAATATAGGAAATACCATTTCTGGAAAAGTCTAGTGATGTCCTTGTAGAAAGTCGAGTTAGTTGCCTCCTTCCAAAAGCAGCAGCATTTCCACTCAGAGCATATTTACTCCAATCTATGACTGGCAATTGGTGAATTTTTTGAGGGTCAGGAATGTTCATATTTTCTTTCCTTTGTAGCTTTTCCACAAAAGCAATAGGATCTGATAAAGCCTCTTCTTGACATTGTAAAAGTCTGTCTAAGTCCTTGATAGCTTTTGATCGTTGAGCTTCAAGTATAACGATAGACTAAAAAAGGAAACGTACAAAAACATGAAACAAAATAATATTTCAATTTAAAATGCATTTTAAAAGTAAATAATGTGCAAACTTTAGGACTCTGGAACTAAAGCATTGAGACATTTATTCAATATCTATTTTTGAAGTCCAAAATTCTTTTCAAGTCCTGATTAAAAAATAATGACTTTCATAATTATTTTTAAAAACATTTATTAATGTGCAAACTTTAGGACTCTGGAACTAAAGCATTGAGACATTTATTCAATATCTATTTTTGAAGTCCAAAATTCTTTTCAAGTCCTGATTAAAAAATAATGACTTTCATAATTATTTTTAAAAACATGCAATAAACATCAAAAAATGTTTTCAAAGATACTTATTACAAGCATCAGTTTAAAAAATTTCGGTTAAAGTATATTTAAGGGTGCTCCTTGGATTACTGCTAAGTTGTTGTTTTATTTATCACAAAGTTGTTGCTTCATTTATGATAACCTGAGTACAGGCCCACACCAAGCCTAATGGGCACCGTCGTGCAAATGTCTAGCAAGCGCCTTGATGTAGTGACGATATTAAAGGGAAATTGCTTTTGGTTAACATTTCAAATGAAGCATTATTAACAGAATAATATGAAAAACCAAAAACAAATAAAAAATAAAAAAATAAAAATTACATTTAAACTTTTGTCTAAATATGCAAACATTTTGTGCTTTGTTTAAACCCACACTCAAACATATTTATTGAAGAACTATACATACATTTATGTTATAAAAAGCCGCCGAACCGGTATCGTGGTTAGCGTTGCTGACTGCCACGCCGAGAGGCCCGGGGTTTGGATCCCGGAGAAGACATGAATGTTTGTTAATGTATAGTGTCCTTGCGGCTTGGGGGACACTCTAATATGCGAGTGGGGGGGATAGAGGGGGTAAGTCGCCACACACAATGAACTGGAAGTTGATCTGTTAGCACTATCCTTATCTTCAGGGCAGATGTTTTTATTTTATTTGGCTTATAATTGCTTACTAAATGTAGTATTTCATCTCGATGTACTCCGTCTTTGATATGATTTAAATCAAATTCCTCGTCATCATAATTCGCGTCCGATAGTGAAGAAAGTGACACAGAGGTTATTGAAAACGAAAAAATTTCGATTGACAAATTAGTCGGTATTCTCGACACAGCAATTATAGGACTTGAACAGCAGTACTTTGTAACTGAACAAGAAATTATGTCTGTTTATAGAATTAAAGAGAATGTATTATCACATAAAACGAAGCAACTTAAACAACTTACATTAAAAGAAATGTTTGATAAAGTAAATAAAATATTAAGCTTTTTTTTGTAAACTTTGATACCCTTTAGATCATAATTGTTCTTTATTTCATAAATTACGGTTTCATATTTTTAATTTTATAATTTCTGCATGCCATCTTACCAGATTTAAACTGATGATCTATAATCCAGAAAAATCAATAATCCGGAATCGCCGAAGTCCCAACGAGTCTGGATTAACGACTTTTCACTGTAATATACTAAACGCATTGCAAACCAAATACAGTACAAAGTCTGTATCCGGACTCGTCGGGACTTCATCGATTCCGGAATAGGAATTTTTCCAGATTATAGATCATCAATTTAAATCTGGTAAGATGGCATGCAGAAATTATACAATTAAAAATTTGAAACCGTAATTTATGAAATAAAGAGCAATTATGATCTAAAGGGTATCAAATTTTACAAACAAAAAGCTTAATATTTATTTGTTTACTTTATTAAACATTTCTTTCAATGCGCGCATGGATAAAGTTTGTGGCTTTGAGGTCCGGATAATGGACGTCCAGATTACGGACTTTGTACTGTATAGTGCTGAATACTATTTTATTATCTTAAAATTAAAAACAAATTAATATATATGTATAAGAAGTTTGCACTGAATAAATTGTTGTTCGCAAACTCTTTTGTGATTACCCTGTTATAATCACAATTTTCATATTGCAATTAAACAGGGCACAAAAAATGCTCTAAGTCTGATATCTAGGGATATATCCAAAATTCTTTTCGGCACACTATGTTGTTGACAACGATATAGCACAAAGTTTCAACCGGGATGCTACACTTCTTCCAAAAGTTTACAAAAACTGCAGTTCACGCAGTGAGATCTATACTATTTATATCGCTTTGATTTTTATTAGTTAATTATAGAATTAATTCTGCTTCTTGCAGGTTTTGACATAAGTTGAGGTGATCTGATGTGTGAATGAAAATATGTGACGCCGATGCGTATGTAAGGAACAGGGGGCACCATAGACGCGTTTGACAAATTGCTCAGTCCTTATTTTGTGTCTACTGTTGCAATTGTAGTAATTTGTGCAACATTTATCTTTTTCGTAATTTTATTTTATTTTATTTTTTTTTGGCGATTGCTTGTTATTTTTTTCCTACATAAAAAAAAAGGTAAGTGCAGTTACATACTATGTTAAACTTAGGTTAGCTTTTTAATTGAGAAAAGTTACAATCTGAGCATAATTACTCGAAGTTTTTCTTTTTTAATATGAGCCATTTGTTTAATAAACTAAAAATTATGATTTCTCGTGAAGATAGGATTGACATATTTACAGAGTAACTACTCAACTTAAAATATACCTATTTGAGATTTGAAGTGAAGTAAAAATGTGCAAGGTATTCTGAAATAAAAAAATTGGCCATTTTCCGATTTTTAGCTACATGGAAAACCGAAGGAAAATGTTTTGTTATTTTATTAAGTCTTAAATACGTACTTTAAGTTTGATTTATTAAATAAATACTTTAAATTTGATTGTATTTACTTTAATAAACAAAAGAGTACCACCACCTACTTGAATTATTTGGTGTTGATCTAATTGTTCATATATTTTCCAAGCAATGGTTTATGATATACTCACTTTTGAGAAGTAAGGTAAAATATTTCAACAGTGACTTTCTGAGTGTTTTCAAGAAGTGCTTCACGCAGTAGTTCTTATAATAGCTATTTTCTACTTTTATTTTTACTTCCACTTTTTCTGTTTTCATTTTTTCCCACATGTCCGAAGAAACAGAAAAAACTATCTGAGTATCAGCATATAATTAAGAAAAAGAAAGTGAGAGGAAGATTTAATAAATCAGAATTTTAAAATTACTCTGTTTTTCCAAAACCCAAAAAATACCCAAACTGACACTACTAGCACTAGTTGTCCATCAACGTCTTAGCTACCATTGAAATTACCAAAAGAACCAAATATCAGAAAGAGTTCGAAAGTGCTTTTACCCAGAAATTACCTTTAATGCAGGCGGTCTAAGAAGAAATACTTTTGAACTCTGCAATTTCTGCAGTAGATACCCATTTGCCTGTGCCTGATGATTTCGGATTATGCCTAAGTCCATTATTGCCATTCCAAGTTTAAGCCTGGATATTATCAAAATCTGAATTCGAGTTTCAGTTTCCCAAAAGACAAAAATGGATTAAAATTTTTTTAGATGTACTTTTGTCGAATCTTGCCAAACAACGCGAAAAAGTTAATCGGATTTGGCGCTTAGTGATTGAGAACTTTTTCGAATTTCGTTTTTTGCCTCAAAAAAGTGGTTAAAATTATTCGAAAGAAAACCCTGCTGGCCACCGTTATAAATACAAACCTGAAGGGAACATAGCATAAAAAAAATGAAATTTACAACATGTAGTAGCGGGTGAGAATGCAAATGATTAGAATTTCAACGATGCACATCTGGCACTTGTGGCGCCACTTCAAAGCACTATAAGGCTTGGAGTTTTCGATCATTCAAGTTTGGCAAATTGTGTTTTTCGTGGTAAAAAAAAAAAAAAAAAAAAAAAAAAAAAAAAATCAATTAGCCTCATAGTAAACACGAATCTGTTTGATCAAGCATCCGAGACGTTCGACGGAGTGGCCATCGAGAGTGTATCTTCAGGGAAATCGGTAGTCATGTTGGACAAAACCAAACAACTGTAATGCGGATATGTGACCGTGGATGCAAAAGGGTAGGACGGACCGACGTGTTCGATCGCATCCACCTCAGTGCACCACTTCACGTGATGACAGGAACATTGTGCGCATGGCAGTGACGGATCACTCAGTCACATCATGAACCATAGCACAGCACATTCAGTCTGTAACACATCATCCAGTGTCTGCGCATACCATTCGATGCCAATTACAGCACAGTGGTCTGTCCGCAAGCCGTCCATTACTTCGTCTACCCTTGACACAGGACCACAGACGTCTCCGCCGCCAATGGTGTGATGAAAGAAGGATGTGGACGGCAAAATGGAATGAAATTGTCTTTACTGGCAAGTTACTCTTCTACCTGCAACACCACGATGGTTGGATTTGAGTCTGGAGACACCGTGGAGAGAGGACGCTGAACAGTTGCGTTATGCACCACCACACTGGTCCTGCACCAGGTATTATGGTATGGGGCAGTATTGGATATCACTCTCGCACTCGTCTAATACACATTGCCGATACTTTAAATAGTCAGTGCTACATCTCCTGAGGTGTTGGAGCCAGTTGCCTTCCTTACCTTCAGGGCTGGCTCCACAGCCATATTTCAATAGGATAATGCGTGACCACACATGGTACACATTGTCCAAGGGTTCTTCGTTAATTGCCAGATTGAATTGCTTCCCTGGCCGGCTCGTTCTTCGGATCTTTCGGCGAGAGAAAACATGCAGTCCACGGTTGCTGAACGATTGACCCAGATTACATCCCAAGCTGCCAGATCAACTTTGGCAACGTGTGGAAGCTGCTTGGTCTGCTACCCAAAGAACCAAAGTCTCTTGAATCAATGCCGAGGCGTATGGCAGCATCTACTCTGGCTACTGATTCTGAAAGGAACCACACTTCAAAGAAATCAATTACTAAATTTTGTTGTGATATCTCTTGTCTTTCTTGGTGTTGCAATTTGGGTGGCCAGCAGTTTAATAATTTTTTAAAGTGCATAGAAATGATCACAAAATTTGACCTTATCATTTCTGTATATAC